AACAACAACAACAACAACATTCATTTTCCAGCTCTCAAATGCATAGCTGGTGATTGGAAAGATGATGGCTTGAGTAAGGCACTCCTTAGCTTTGGACTGACATCATCAAGAACACATGGTAATGAGGAAAGAAGTTCAAACTGCAGTAAAGACATTGTCAAAAGATTAGTTTCAAAGAATTGACACAATGCCAATTGACATGTTCCAACTAAAGGACAATCCCAAAGGTGCTCACCAGCCTGTGCTAGGAACTTTTGAAGACAGCTACTTAGTGAAAGAGATCCATATTCTTGTTCCCAAGGAAGGCTACCCAACAGAATGTGGAAAATATCATTAATATCACAAGCAAGTAAAAGATTGCTGAAGATCATCCAAAACTGGCTAGAACAGTATACTGACAGGGAACTGCCAGAAGTTTACATTGGGTTTAGAAGAGGTCATAGCACAAGGGATATCATTGATGTTAGGTGGCATTGAGTAGAGTACAACTCATAACAATACTATGAAGAAAATACCTGAATCCTGTTTATCCTGGACCATCCTCACACTTCCTTACACACAAGAACCCACTGCAACAGTCACTATGTCAATCCAGCTGGTTGAGGGTCTTCCTCTCCTTTGCTGACCCTCCACTCTTCCCAGCATCATGTCCTTTTCCAAGGAATAGCACCTCTCAGCAACATACCCAAGCATTACAGATGTCAAACCTACCCTGGATGAAAGCAGAGAATATAAGAAGAATGTCTATTTGTGTTTTATTAACTAAGCAAACGCGTTTGACTCTGAGGATCACAACAAATTATCACTAACACTGAGAATAATGAAAATGTGACATCACTTAATTGTGCATATATAAAACTTACACTGAAACCAAGAAGCTGTTGTCTGAACAAAACAACAGAAAACTGCATGGTTTGGAAATTGAGAAAGGTGTGTGTCAGGGTTGTATCCTTTCTCCATGTCTATTAAATCTCTATGCTGAGCAAATCCTTTATAAAGCTGGACTCAAAGGAAGAAGAATGTGTCATCACTATCACAGCAAGACTCATTAACAACCTACATTATGCAGATTACACAATCTTGGTTGCTGAAAGTGTGGAAGACTTGAAATGTTTCCTGTAAAAGATCAAAGATAACAGCCTTCAATCAAAATTGCATCTCAACATCAAGAAGACAAATATCCTCACTACTGGACCAAAAGGCTACAATATGATAGAGAGAGGGAAAAAAAAAAGACATTTTCAATGATCTCATTTTTCTTTGATCTATAATCAGCACCCTTGGTACCAGCAATTAGGAGATCTGTTGAAGTATAGCTTTGGGGAAATATGGAAGGGCTAGGGACCTCTTCAAAGTCCTTTTAAGGAAGATGATGAATGACATGGGGAATGAGAATTAAGATTTCTCTTTGTGATATTAGAAATAAACCTAGTGATGCTGTGATTTGGCACTCAATTGCTAACCGAAAGGAGTGTGAAATCCACCGGTGGCTCTGAGGGAAATATGACCTGGTGATAAGGTTCTGTAAAGATTATAGTCTGAGAAATTCTATAGGACACGTCTACGTTATATAGAACAGCAGTAATTCAGATTTGAATTTAGGACAGATAGCAACATCTGCAGGCATATTAGATAGAACTAAAGACATTAAAAATTATTTGGTTGATTTTTTTTTAAATACAGTCAGTGTAAAAGAATAGAACGGAGCTGCATTTGCAAATAAAAATTTTTGAGATTTAACCTTGCTAATTGCAGTGACCACCTACCAGTCTTAAGGGAAATTATTATAAAAATT